TGTTAACACAGGGGTCCTCTGTCCCTAGCACCCAGCACAGGCCTCCAGCACTGAAAAGTATTAGCAAACATGGTTATAAGGGAACAGTTAAGTGCAAGAAATTTCAGTCCACAACAGATTAGAAGCACAGAATCATGGAATGTTAGAGCAGAAAGGAGACGAATGCTATCTAACCTCTTCGTGTTACAGATGAGCACAAGACTCAAAATGAACATTAATGGAGGAGCCAGGACTCACTCACCTCCAGCTCGGGCTGTGACCACACCCAGCCTCTCCTTGACTGGAGACCTATTCTGGACTTAGGGAGGCAGCACCTCTATACCCGACCACCACCTTCACAGAGGAAGAAGCCCCCGCCCTGTCCCGTTCTGTCCCGTCTCGCCCCCCACCGAGAGCGCCCTGGCTGCAGCTCTCAATTCCCTGGACTGAGGTCTCAGGAACACAGCCCCAGCCCCACGCACACAGTTGTAACTTCTGCGGTTCTTCCCTCTCACTGTTCACCTCCGATCCTTTCCCCACATCCCGGCTCTCATGTAATCACACCTTTATTGATCACCTATGAGCCACTATGCAGCGTGCACTGGGGTTCCTGTCCCCAGAAAAGGGTCTATCCCGGAGGCGAACATTGGGAACTCGGAACACCGGACAACCCGGGAGAGGCGGTGCGCAGGCGACCCTCCGCTCACCACTCGGTCCTCCCTCTTGTCCTCACGGGCCTCCCCCCTGACCCCGCTGCCCTGTCGCGGCCCTCGCCACCCCCGCCCGGGTCCCTTCCCGCTGGCTGCGTGGAGGATGGAGAAAGTTTGGGGCCCGGAGCTAGGGGTGGGGGTCGGCGCAGGGCTCCGGGCACCCGCAGATCTCCGCCCCATCCCTCCGCTCCAGCCGGGACCAGTGGGGCAGCGCGGGGGGAGCGGGGCCGGGCGCCGGGCCATCCCTCGCACTGCCCCTCCCCTCCCGAAATGCAGAGGAACTAGGAGGGAGGGGGCCGGGGAAATAAATACCTTTGACTTTGTAGCTAAGGTTAACGGGAACTGCCACCCCGGGGGCGACTTGGGCACCGGGCTCCCAGCCCTGGCCAGTCCCGGGGCAGGCGGGGCGGGCGCGCGTCGCTGATTGGCTGGCGGGCTTGACCGTCCCCTGGGCCGCCCAGCCACCCGATTGGCTACATTGCTCAGATGACCCGCCCGGCCCTATCGGAGCAGCCCGCGGGGCGGCCCCTTTGTTCTCCCGAGCCAATAGCCGGGGGCTGACCTCGCCCCGCGGGCGCGCGGCCCGGCGCGGTGAACGCGGGCGCTGCGGGTTGCAGGGGTAGGCAGGGTGCGGCCGGGCAGCTGATGACCGTGGCGCTGCAGCGCTCTTGCCCGCCTGGTTCCCCCGGACCTGGTCCACGGCCTTTGCGAGACCGGCCTTCCGAGCACGCACATATTAACGTCTGAACTTGGGGCACAGGTGTGGGTTCCATCCTTAGTTCAGCAAGTATTTACCAGGCGCCTGCATCGTGCCAGTCACGGTGCCCGTGCTGGAAAGCCATCCGGGACCACACAGAAATTCCCGCTCTGAAGGTTCCCCTGGAGCGCACGTCTGCTCTGGTGCAACCCTTTCTCTTTCCTCCCTGACCTTTCCTGGACCCTGTTCAATTGGTGGTCCTGCACACCCGGTGTGTACACATCACAGGAAGGTGCACGTGCCTCGTGCGTGCGCATGCTGCACGCAGTCGTCAGCACCAAGCACCACCGCGGGCCTGCAGTGCGTGCTAATAAAGGATGTTTGGAGCTGTCCATGAGAGACCCTGGAAACCATGGCATTCAACCCTGCGTTTCTAGCTGAGCAAACAGGGTGTGAGGAGGTTAAGTCACCAGATCTAGTGTCACCGCTCACCAGGGCTCAGAAGGGTGGAATCATCACCTTGCTGTTAACCTGGTCCAGACTGCCAACAAGGGTGTTGGGTTCCCAGACTCCAGGAAAGGGAGTTTTCTCCTCTACCTACCTTAGTGGAAGGAAATTCCTCACTTTTGCATCAAAGGGGTCACAGCTGGGTCAACTCCCGATGGTAGGGGTCTTTCCAGTGCTGCTTACAAACTGGCTTTGGGACACTAGGTGGATGCAAACAGAAGCTAGATCTCTCTGACTTCCAACTTCCTTCTCCCCTCTCTTTATGTTCCCCCCGCCCCCCGCAGCAGGTGGACCTCTGTTCCCTAACCAGTCAGCAGCTGATGAAGGCCCAGCTGCCTAGCTCCAGAAACACAATGAAAAGGGAGTGGGATTCTATGTTGCCACTAACTTCATGTGCGGTTTTTACAAAAGATACTTTTTCTGTCTCTGGACTTTGACTTATTCATCTGATTTTTCTACTTGACTACATACCTTTCTGGGCTTTTACCTTTATATTTGGTTATTCTGTAGACCAGAAATCTATAGGATCACTTGCAAAGTGCTACATAAAACCCTACACACTGTACAGAAACCATACATCACCAGCCACCAATTCTTAATGGTCTCCTTCCCATGGTTATTTTAGATAGCACCTGAAGGCACTATAGAAATGGCTTGCTTCAGAAACTAGTAGTCTCACTCCAGGTCTGCCACAGGCTGCAGTGTGACCCTGGGACATCACTTCCACTCTCTGGGCGTATTTCCTTCTCTGCAGAGTGAAAGACATCTTGTAGACTGACATCTCCTGACAAAGGGTATTTCAGGGATGGAAGGAATGAAGCACATCTGGGATCCTATTCCCATTAAGCAAAAGCAGGGAGGCTGCATCTGTATGTTTGCTAATCTGCAGGAAACAAACAAAAGAGAGAGAATACCCCTCAAACCTTTCTCAGTGTGAAGAGGTGGGCAGGGATGATGAAGGATTTTCACATAAAAAAATATATATAGGTCTGCATTGTTTTATGTTTTAAAAGGTAATTTAACAGTTTGATAATTGGTGGCAGAGCTCTGACTTCCTCTCCTTGATTGCAGTCAGGATGAACCACCCTGTGCAAGGACTTGGGGACCACTAGGCTCCCTGAGGAACCAGGAGCAAGTTCACCTATCTCTGCTTTCCTAACCCCCTCAAGGCCCTGTATTCTTTAGACCTTCCTCACCATCTCTGCCCACAAACCCTTATGGGCAGCCTAGCACTCAGGGCCACATCCTTTTGTTCCTAGGCAGCTGCTCTACACCTTGACCCACGTCTCCAGCCCTTTTGCTCTGGTTATTTTGGAGATAGGGTCTCCCTTTTTTCCCAGGCTGATCTGAACTGCGATCCTCCTGTTTTAACTTTCCCACGTTTCCTGGATGACAGATATGTGCCACCATGCCCAGCTTTGTCTGTTGAGGAGGGTCTTGCAAATTTTTTTGCCTGGACTGGCCTAGAACTGTGATCCTCCCATTCTCAGCCTCCTGCATAGCTTGAGATGACAGGTGTGAGCCACCAGCACCCAGTTCACCACTTCCTTTTAAAGGATAACTTTTCTTAAGGTCAGGACCACTGGTCAGATTCCCTCTCTCACTCTAACCACTGGTGAGATTCCCAACCTCCCAGTGCTAACCCAGATGCCTGTGGACCTGTCCCTTCCTTCCCGCTCATCATCTCCAGATGTCCACCTACTCTTTCCTGTCATCTTTTCTTTCCTGGAAGACATGGTGTTCCTCAGAGAACAGATGTGAGTGGGACTTACTCAGGGCCTCCTGCTTGCTTGGCAAGCATTCTACCTTTAGAACCACACCTCCAGCCCTGTCAATGGGGCCTTCTTGAGACCATGCCCTCTGCCCCCAGGCTCTAATAGACAATTTGCCTTCAACTACACAGGCTTTTAAGTGGCCCCATAATCTCATAAAGCAATAAGAATCTTTGAAGTCGCTGGCTTCCATCCTACACACTGAGCCCCACTGTCCATCTTTCCCTACTCATTATTTTAATACCTATATACATCCTCTCCAGACCCAGTTCTCATAGGGGACTTATTTTTATAACTGACCCCCCTCATTTCCATCATAATGTCAAGCACACAGTAGGCATTTAATCCTTACCTTAACCAAAAGCTGCACACTAAACTTATCCAAAAACCCATGTGGTGGTGGTGAAGATCAAAGGGTGCAGGAGCAGACAGCCCTGATAGGCCAGCCTCTGGTGATTGCCAGCTATTCAACCAACCACCAGCAAATATGTTTGTGTATAAAAGAACAAGAGCACTCACCACATAAGGACCAGGTGAGGTCATGTAGCATTTCTCTGCAAAGTGCTATTCAATGAGCATATGGTAGTTATTCTTAGGCATTACTCTGTGCTGGGCACCAGGGACCAACACAGAGATGACTAAGACGGCAAGAAAAGAGCCAGCTGACGCCTGGTAAAAAACATTCACTCAAATGTGTATGAAGCCTGGTGTAGTGAGGGACCTGCTGACCAACCAGGGAGGCCCTGAAGGACAGAATCAAGTCAGCCCTTCTTTCCCTCCTGGTAACTGGCATCATTTAAGACTGACCTGACCCCACTGGGAGTCTGAACTCCTGGTCAGGTGGCTCTGCACCCAGTTGGTGGGTGGGGGCGTGGGGATGGAGAGGCGAAAGCCATCTCTGCTGCTCAGAATTGCTTCCCCTCCTCCCAGAGACTTTTTCACTCTATTAAACTCTGCCAGGGGCCCCAGGTATAACCAAAGTCTGTAAGCTCCACAGCCTCAAAAAGGCTCTCAGTACTCACTGGAGTGCCAAAAAGGCCAAGGTGGTGAGAAAGACAATGGCAGCCCTGGGTCCATCCTAGGGGGTCAAGTGGCAAGGAACCAAGACCTTAGTTCCAAGTTGAGAGTGTTCTACCTAACACAGTTCTCTGGGGCCTTGACCCGTCACCCTGAGAATTAGCAACTTTCTGAGTGTGCCAGGTCCCCCTAATCAGGGAAAGACTGGAGGACTAGAGGGAGGATAGAGACCCTCACCTGCTGTCAGTATCCCCCTGCAACCCTGCTCCTCCCTCCAGCCCCCAGCCCCCAGGAAAAGAAACAGTCCCAGCCACCAGTTCTAAAACCAAATCTTTATTCTCTAGTTTGAAAAGGAGGGTAAATGGTTGTTCTGTTTGGATCCAGAGACAAAACAAGGCCCAGTAGGTAGAAATCATAGGAAAGCAGAATCAATCATCATAAGGGAGAATTTCTAACAATTAGAATCATCCTACAATAGAACCAGGGCCTCAGGAGGGGGAGCTCCCTGCCACCCAGGTGCTCAGGTGGAAGCTCACCCAGGACCTGCCTTCAGCTGACCCTCCAGCATCAGTGAGCCAGTCCTGCCCATAACGTCTTGAGCTTTGGAAGGACTGGAGGAGGCTCATGGGTTCAGACGAAACAGCCAGGGAAGCCCTCAGTGCTGGGAGGGCTGATGGGTAAAGCCAGGCAGACCAAGGAGGAAATGCTCTGGGGGATTGATCCTGGCGAGGAAGAGGATGGAATCACTAACAGTAGACGGGCCTCTCCAAACCTGGGTACCTATGCAGGAGGTCGTGGGGAGGGGGACCAGTAAGAGCAGCCTTGCTTCTCTCCTGCTGCCTAACAAGGTCAGCAGGTTCTCCAAGGTATATCCAGCTGGTCCACTTTCCCTCCCAGAGCATTCATTTACTAAGGGCTATGCCACACCTACTTTCAAAAATGACCTGAAGTAACTCATGGTAAAGACTGGGACATTAAGGCGTTAACACCAGAGGACGGAATGACTTCCCTCCTACTGGTGGCTCTTCTAGCCGAGTTCTCTAAGGGTAGATAGAGCTGCTATTGCTACTTTTCCAGGGTACAGGACAGTCAGAACGGACCCTTAGAAATACCAGCTGAGGCTAACAAGCTAGAGACCGGATACTCTGCAGGGCCTTCCCTGCCCACCGGGGTCGACTCCCACATTAACAGGGCCTAGTTCACTCCCGCCTCTTCTAGCCCTCCTGGGATCTCTCTGTCCCCTCCAGCAGCACCAGCGCAGGCACCTGAGGCCAACTGCGACACTCCTGTTGCAAGGCCACCCAGGCCCTCTCTCCCTCGGCCCCCACATCCCCTGCCCTTCTCAGACGTCGTGCTTCTTCTGGTGGGTCAGCAGCCGCTCCTCATCATCAAAGGTCTGGCCACAGATGGCGCAGCAGAAGGCGCCATCCCGGATGTGACTCTTGCGGTGGGTGATGAGGTTGGACTTCTGGCTGAAGCTTCGGTCGCAGTCGGGGCAGGCGTAGGGCCGCTCGCCAGTGTGGATGCGCCGGTGGGAAACCAGGTTGGACTTCTGGCTGAAAGCCTTGCCGCAGTCGGGGCAGACATAGGGCTTCTCGCCGGTGTGGATGCGCCGGTGGGCGGCCAGGTAGGGCTTGTGACGGAAAGCCTTGCCGCAGTCGGGGCAGACGAAGGGCCGCTCGGGGGCATGGTCGCGCCGGTGGGCTGCCAAGTGGCTGCCCTGGGAAAAGCGGCGCCCGCACTCTTCGCAGGCAAAGGGCCGCTCGCCCGAGTGCACGCGGGAGTGAGCCACCAGGTGGGTCTTCTTGCCGAAGTTCTTCCCGCACTCGCCGCAGGTGAAGGGCCGCTCCCCGGTGTGCTGCCGCTGGTGCGCCCGCAGGAAGCGCTCGAGCCGGAAACTCCGCCCGCAGTCATCGCAGCTGTAGAGGGACGGGGGCGCCGCCGCCTGGGCCCGTGGGGGCTCCAGAGAGCCCTGGGGCGCAGGCTCCACCGCGGGCCTCGCGGAGGGCGGCTCTGCGGAGGCCTCCGGGACTACGGCCGGAAGCCGGAGGCTCCCGGAGCCGGGGGCCACCTGTGAGGAGCCCTCGGACCGCTTGTGGATCTTGCTGTGCGACAGCAGGTTGGGTTTGTGCCGGAAGCGGCGGCCGCACTCGGTGCACGGGTAGGGCTTCTCGCCCGTGTGGATGCGCCGGTGCGACGTCAGGTAGGGTTTGTTGGTGAAGCGCTTCCCGCACTCCGGGCACTGGTGCGGGCGCTCGCCCGTGTGCACACGGCGGTGGGCGATCAGGTTGGGCTTGTGGCGGAAGCGCTTGCCGCAGCAGGCACACTGGAAAGGGCGGTCCACCGCATCTCCGCCTGGCCGGGGAGCGGTCACGGCCGGACGTCCCCGGGGCCGTGGCCCCAGAGCTTTGGCTGCTGCCTCCTCCAGGGCCTCGGCCACGTGCACCCGCTTGTGAGCAACCAGCTGGTCCCACTGGGCAAAGCTCCGGCCACAGTTGCCGCATATGAAGGGCCGGGCCTCAGGGGCAGGAGGGTGACACCGCCGCAGATGAGCTCGCAGCTGCTTTTGTCGCCAGAAGCGTCTCTCGCATTCGGGACAGGCGATGGGTCGCTTGGCAGCCGCGTGCGCCCGCAGATGCAGAACCAGGGCCACCCAGCCTCGGAAGCTATGCCCACAGAGATGACAGGTGAAGCCCACCTCGGGGGTGGCAGCCGCATGGACCTGGCGGTGCAGCGCCAAAAGGGGGGCGTGGCGGAAGCGCAGGCTACACTCAGGACAGGGCAGCGGCAGCCGGGCCTGGCAACGCCGGCTGTGAAGCCACAGGGCCACCCAGCTCGGGAAATGCCTTCGACAGTGGGCACAGCGATGGACCCTGCGAGGGGCTTCATTGCCTGGTTGGCCCACCAAAGTGCCCTGATGCGTCAGCCCGCTGGGCTCCTTCTCCAGGGTCTGGGGTGACTCCTGGGAGGGCCCAGAAAGGAGCCGGGGCTGGGTTGGGCCCATGGACACGTGGCCCCTACAGCGCCGTTCCAGCATCGGTTCTTCCTCTGCTGAGGATGGAAAAGCAGAGTCACTGCAGGATCAACACATCCAGCCCGGTTCCTCCCCTCCAATGCCAGTCCTGAGCCTAGCTTGCCCTCCAGGAACTCCCAGAAGCCTTTGATACCTAGACTACTTTGTTATATATATATTTTTCAATCTTGGATTTCTAGATAACATTCCAAGAAAATTTATCTTATATCTTCACTGCCTTGGAAAGTTCCAGAAGGGAGAAATACTGCTATTTCTTGGAATCACTCCCTGTCCCCCATTTTCTGGAGGGAGAGAAGACTCTGGTGTTGGGTGCAAAAACATTCCAGACATGGGACTCACATCCTTACAGTGCCTCACACCATTTCAAAGCTTCTCTGTGGCCCTCTCTTTGTGTCTACTACCTCCTATTGTCACTTCTGAGCTCACCACACCTTGTGAGGCTGGAGGAGCAGACACTTAGCTCCAGATGAAGCAAGTGAGAGGCATCAAAAGGGATGGGACTTGCCTGAGGTGACACAGTAAACCAACAGCACAACCAAGACTTGGGAACAGGACTTCTAAACCCCCAGGCCAGTGTCTTTCGGAAGTATGCAAAGATCTTGCCAAAAGAAATTGCTACAGCCTTTCATTCTTGCCAGGCTGCAAGTGCCTCCTCAACCTTTCTGGGCAGCAGCCTGGACAGCAGGTGAGAACAGCCTTTATAAGGGACAGGAGAAGGAGGGAAGGGGTGCCTCTCTCAGTACAGCCTAACACCAGGCCACATTCTGCCCTCCTGCCCCTCTCCACTCCCACAAATTAGGCCACCACAGGAAAGAAACGCTCCCAATTCAAGAAATACCCACAGCCTGCTGCCCTGGGGCCTCTGATCTTTGGCTGTGCCTCCCTTGAGGTGCTGGGGATTACTGGAGCAAGAGAAGGGGAGGCATGAAGAGATTGTAATCTCTGTCCCCTGTCTGGTCCTGCCCCAACCTGGCCAGGGGCTGCCCCATGTTCAGCTCTTCCACAGCTCAGGGGAACCCAGATTCCTGCTTGAGAGCCTCCCACGCAGAGTGCGTGCTAGGGTGGCAGTTAAGACTCCTCAGGGGTCCCCTGTCTGCTCACAGACTCCTGCAACACTTCCTCCTAGATTATTCAGAGCCTGCTCTCCTTTGGGTAAATGCAGACATGACTCATTCCAGGGGAACTGACTGAGCCCAGAGAATACCCCAGGATATGAGAAAGGGGTCCTTTCCCAGTTAGGCCCTTTTCTTTCTGCCAGGACAGGGAGGCCTGAGTTCTGGGGCAGTGGGGTAGGTTGGGAACACACAAAGGGCAGACTCTACCCTGGAGACCGCAGAGCTGGGGATGAGACTTTTTCCAGCTCCTCCTGGGGATGTTCCTGGGGATACTTCGGCCGCTGCAGCGCCTGCTCTGGCCCACACTCTGGTAGCCCCCGGATGTCAGAGAAAACTGCAGCAATAAAGACACCCCTACCCCCATGGCAGAGCTCAGACCTCTGACTGCAGAGAGGCCAGCCTTACCTGTGGGGAGGGGAGAGAAAAAAAAAAAGTGTGAGGCTCTGGGCTCCTTCAGGGCAGTCATCTTTGTGTCCTCACCAGCCCAGTCCTCCCCCCCACAAAGCCACAGTCTTCAGCCATCAACCCAACGCCCTGCCTGGCAGAGTGACCTTAATGGATACTGGATTAATAAATGAGCGGTGGCCCTACACGAAGGAAGCATTTTGGGGGTCACCTCCTGCCCCTGTAAGGTCACAGAAGAATTCTCCATTCTATGGTCAGGGTCTTTTCCTGGTGGCCAAAGGAGGCCTAGGGAGTAACTCTGGAATCCCTGCTGGCTCCCCTTCCCCCACTCTCCTCCCATCAGGAATTCCAGGCCTGTTTCCCATGGGGCTAAGCAGGGCGCGCTAGTGTGCCGGACTCGGCCAGGATCCCTTTCGGCATCTTGGATGGCCAAAGGTGGCAGAAGGCCCCACAGCCCTTTTGTATTGGTGCGTGTCCTCCGTCCACTCGCGCGAGTCCCGCTCCTCCCAGTGAGCCATTTCGGGTCCCACGCACGGCGCAGCCCGTGGAGCCGGTGCGCAGGTGCGCTCGTCCCCCGCCGCAGCCCCCCTCCCCGTACACCCACAGTGGCGCACACTCACGATCACGCGCCCCGCAGGTGGAGCCGCCCCCGCGGGCCCGTGGTGTCCCCTGCGCCCCTGCCCAGGCCGTACCTCTCCCGCGGGCTGTGCCGAGGCGCGGCGCCCGTCCATGGAGCCTCAGGCCGGCCTCCGCGGCCCGCTCCCAGTCCCGCCGCGGCGACAGCGGCAGGTTCGAGTTCACAACTGCCAGGCCCGTCCCCAACCTCCCCCCCGCCGGGTTCCCAGCGCCACGTGACTACAGGAGCTGCCGAGGGTCAGTCGCCGGCTCGGCGGCCGCGGCCTTGGGGGTGGGGCGGGCCGGGTCACCCTCTGTACGCCTCCACCCGGGCAGCCGGCCGGGAAGGGCCCAACTCCGTTGCCATGGCGGCCACCAGATCGGAGTTTTCGAGACAGGCCGGAGCTCAAGTTTCTCGACCCTTTGTCCCTGCAGAGGACGCGCGTCCCCGGGCGACCGCGTGGCCGGCTTGTGGTCACTGGGTCTGCAACGCCCGCCCGGGGTTATTACAGGCTGGGAGCCGGTCAGGAGACCAAATAGGGCGCCTACTGTCCCTGGACTGCCGTGCCCGGGCTTTTTTCCCAGGCCGTGCCTGCTGCTGCCGGGCGACCGCGCACCCTGGACGCAGTGCGCACGCCAGCGCTCTGTGGACCCCGGGCGACAGCGGCGCACCTGGAGTCAGAAAAAGGCCCGAGCGTGTGAACTTGGGAAGGCCTCCATCCCCAAAACTACGATCGGGAGTTGCCGGGCCTGCTGTGGCTGCGGGCCAGGCGTGGGGCCACGGCCGCGATGCCCGTTTGCGCACGTGGGTCATTTCTCTTGGAAACGCGCAGCAGCCAGTGTGGCGTCTGTAAAGGCAGGTGCGAGCCTGTGCCTGTGACTCACCCACTAGCAGGTGGCCTTGGCTTTCAAACGAAACACTTCCTGGGGCTTCCAAACTAGTCCAGTTCCATGTCCTTTCATGCCTTCGTCAAAAGTAGTTTTCGAATTGTACAATTACTTTTAACACACTTTTAAAATCTGTTGCATAAACAGGAAATAGGGGAACGTCAAGCTCTTGAATATTTTTACCCCCTAGAGTCAATTACGTTTGATATTTTGGCACATATCCTTTGGTGTTTATGCACATCCATTTGGCATGATTGAGATAATGCTTTGCAAAGATATGTTCTGCCTTTTTCACTTAATATTGTGAGTTTGCTCCTGTTTCATTAGATATTGTTTGATAACGTTTTGTTTTGTTTGTTTTGTCTTGTCTTGTTTTGTTTTGAAACAAAGTCTTGGTAGGTAGCCCAGGCTGAGCTGGAATTCACTATGTCGTCCTAGTTGGCCTCGAACTCCCACACTCCTGCATCAGTCTCCCAAGTGCTGGGATTACAGGCATGAACCACCACATGTGGCACTATACCAAGATTCTTAATGGCTGCATAAATGTACACGTAGATTTCTATAGTTTTCTATAGGTTGATATCGTATTGTACATAACCCATTTCAGAATTTCGACTGATGGGTCAAAAACAAGGTATATTTTTAACATGCTTTCTAAATGATTTTGCAGGTGGATTTATTAGTTTTCCCTAAGAAGTGACCATTTTTCCATTTCCTTGACAATGCTGGCTATTTTTTCAAATTTAATTTAAAATGGCTCTCATTGTTTTAATTTGTTTTTTAGATTGCCAGTTAGCCAGATGGGGTGTTTTAAATATGGTTATTTATTGCCAGTTTGGGTTGTATTTTGAGAATTTATATCCCATTGCCCACTTTCCTGTTTACCCATTTTAAAGGTTGGAGTCTGGTTTTTATTGCTTGGGACTTGTGCATAAAGTGTGAACTTTACTATTTATGTCGCAAACATTTTTCCTCAGACTGTTTCTCCAACTTTTAAAATTATTTGTTCTTGTTTTGAGAGAGAGTTTTTTTATATAGTTGGAGGCTGTCCTCCAACTCTTGATCCTCATGCCTCAGCCTCCCAAGTGCTGGGATTACAGGCATGTACCACCATGCAGGGAAACTTCTTAATTTTTGAAGTGAGAAAATTTGGTTTTAGTGCTAAAACCCATCGGTCTTCTTTTATGGTGTCTGCCTTTACATTTATGTTTACAGAAGCCCTCTCACCCTAAATTACAGATTAGGTTTTTTGTTTTATCACAGAAAATAAGTCTTAAAACCTTACTAGTTTAAGTACCCCGCACACACACAGCTCCTGTTTTGTTTCATTTTAATTTGCTCCTCAAAGTTTCTTGTCTAAAATCACCCATTTATTCTTTCAAATGAACTTAAGAATTTCTTGTAAATATTTTAAAACCCTATTTGTGTTTGAAGAGAATGAAGATTCATGTCTCTCCACTTATTGGGGTCATATTTTTTATCTCTTACAATAAGGTTTTTTTTTTTTTTTGGTTACATGTATACCTGTTATACTTCTTATAAAATTAAATTCACAAACAGGACAAATCTCTGTCAGATTATACCTTTTGTAGGTTCTGAAACAATCACAGTATATTGTGAACATAATGTCCAATTTGGCGCCAAGCAAGAATGGGTTTTTCTACTAACAACGCAGTAAGATCTTCCAGTTTTTACCTAAATGCTTTGTAATAACGCTTAACCTTCAGGGAGTCTTCATTTTGTGTCAGGCATGATGATAAACTCAAAATATATCTCACTTATTCCTCTCAACAACTCTCACATACACTTCTGGTCCTCATTGTACAAATGAAACAACAAAGACTCAGAGATGTTAGGGACCTTACCCAAGGCCACACAGCTGCATAGTGGCTGATTGGAACCTGGACAGTGCCCTCACAGCCTTACCCTGAACCATGACAGTTATACATGTGGGAAAAGCCCCAAGTGCTGGGCTGAGCAGAGTCAGTGTGAAATGCCTTGGTACCTGAGTGAGTATGCACATCTAATGCTACTTGTCTCCCATATTCAGACAAGAGCCTTCTACGCAGAATTCCTTCCTGGACTCACAGAGTATCTTCATCTCATCTGTGGTCAGTGTCTCTTAGCAGAAAAGTTCTTCCCTTAAACAACTGCTCCCTCACTTTCCAGCCCCGACCGATGCCAGTGTTTCCTCCTTTCCAGTTGGGAGATAGCCACCTGCTCTCAAAGGAAGCTAAGACTAAATGCACCCTGGCTCTCTAGGGGAAACTGAGTGTCGGGTGTTGTGACAGAATTCTGAGACTTCTGGCAGCAAGAGAGTTAAAGTCTTGGTGTTTGGGACTTCACCCAGTGTCTTTGAGACAGCTGTACATAGCTATGGTCCAGCCGCCACCCAAACGGCCAAATAGCCTAACTCAGTGGAGATGGTCTCAGCTTTTGATATGGCATACTTGCTGGAGAAAGGTAGGGCTGGACACAATAGGGGACCCAATGGACAGCAAAAATGGATAGGGGCCCTGAGGGGATCCATTTTCTCCTCTGGCAGAGCCTGGTTCCACTTCTGGGTTAGATGGCTAAATAGGTGGGCAACCAGCGGGTGAAAATGACATCTCCGGAAACCCACTATGAAGATACCCGTGTGTTGTTCAGCAGCAGCTCTGTATCTGGAACCAGGAAAAGTGCACCCTTCTTTGCAGATACACAATCCCAGTGCTCCCACGGGACTTGCTTATACACCCAGCAAGTAGTTCCTCAGTGAGCACCATCTGCCACTGTGCTGAGTGCTGAGGCTCATCGTGACCTGGGCAGAAACAGTCCATGCTGGTTTTCCACGAGAAAAGGATGTCAAGAAGCTTTTAACTCTAGTTTCATGTTGGAAATACCTCTCAGGTTAGTGCTGACTACACAATAAAACCAAATTCTTGTTGACAGTTTCTGAAAGGCTGGCTGGTGAAAAGGTGGAAGAGGGACGGGGCCAGGAGAGCAGTGAGGAAAGCTTCACTATGACAGAGATCCTTCACCTGTCTCAGGCAGAGCCCATCGCAGGCTGACCCTGATGGAGGACAAATCCAGGGATGTGCCTCACAGGGCAACAGTCCCCTGCACTGCCTTTTGAGCCTTCCTTGCTGGAGAAAGCAGTGAGGGGACCAGAATACAAGGCCCCAGACTAAGAAAGACTTTTGAGCTGAAGACAATTAAGAAGTAGATGTAAGAAAGCCAACATGGGCTGTAGAGACCATTTCAATTAAAAAAAAAAGGAAGGAAGGAAAACATATTAACACAGCCCCCACCTTTCCAGGGTTTGGCACCTCAGATGAAAGGATGACCTGCTAGGTCATGTAGAAATTCTTCAGGAAAAGGTCTAAGAACAGCGGTAAAGGCATGAAAACACGTGAAAAAACAAATTCTGTAAGAGGATCCCTAAGTGGAGATCAAATGTCACTCCCACCACAAGACACTTCTCTATTCATATGTAGGTCCCAGGTCTGTTTTGCTAAAGAAAAGACTACAGTTGGTAGGAAGGACAGCAGAAGCCACCTCGGGTTTCCTGTGGAGGAAACAGGATGTGTGGGAGCCCTAGACCAGTAAGGCTCTGCTACCCCCTGTGACCACCACTCCCTGCCACCTGGCTGCCCACAGTCTCTCCCACCAGAGCTTCTGAAGCCGCTGCAAGCCACTGTCCCTGCCTCCACCCTGGCCCATAAAGGCCAGTCATGCCCTTAACCAGTTTGACCCTTTTAAATGTAAATCAGATCGGACAGAAGGCACCCCCCTCTTGGGGGACTCCGAGGCCCCCTTGACATTTTGAATAACATCCAAACTGCTGCCACAGACTGTGGGGTTCCACCTACAGTGACTGCACTGGCCTCTCCAACTCCAGTCTTCCGGAGCTATGGTCACACACTGCTGCCAAGGGGCCTTTGGGGGTCACTGTGCCATCTGCCCAGATGATCTCCCTCCAGGTCTTGAGGGCTTTCAGCCTTCCCTGAATTCAAATTTTGGCTCAAGTATCC